GAAGGTTTTTAATTTAGAATAGATAACTAAGCTTCTAAACGAAGAAAAAAATTGTTAAGGAGAGTTGAATGGAATCTTAAAATATATATCAAATTAAAAAGAAAAATTTAAAAATTTAATATATTAAATTTCCAATAATGGAAGCAGATGATAATAAAATTAATTCATGTGGTAAAAGAATTAATAATTAAATTAAATACTAGGATTTTCCAGTTTTACTATTTTGGATATCCGAAAATTTTCCAAGAATTGGCATTTAAAGGTGTAACTTTGATAGGTATTATCTAAAATCTATTTTATTTAAATAAAGATTGATGAATAATTCCAGAAGTAAACAACTCATTTTATACGATCATTGTAAAGATTCTATAATAAAATAGGTATATGTTCTGAATGAAAATCCGAATGTGTTTAGTATGTATCAGCAAATTCAGTTATATTAGCAATTTCGATACATTTGTTGATTCAACACAGTTACTCGATTATCTTCCCTTACAAAATTTATCTGGTGAATGAAAGGTTGGATAGCATTTAACTGTAGATTTTTGTAGCCTTTCTTAATAGCATTAACACACTTTTTTAGCATTTTAAAACAATTACGTTGAATTGTTTTGTTCATTGTTAAGTAAATAATAGAAGGTATTCCTGAAATAATTTTTTAGTTATTTTCTTTTTATTCCTTGTAGAAATATATTTTTATTTTATAAGAAACAATTAGAGAAATGTTATGGTTGTACTGAGATGATAATCAAGAAAAATTAATATGATAATCCTAAACCCGATTTATTAAAATTAATATATTGATATCACCGTGCACATTTAACCAACAAATTTGACCGATTATAATAATAATGTCATCGACGTGGATATATTGCATAAAAAGATAGATAGAAGCAGTAAGAATATTAATCAAGCTAATCAAAAATACTTGAAGAAAAATCTAAAATTTAGGGTTTAAAGCAAACGTAAAAGTAAACACCATCTTTTCAGAATAGCTTTGTTGATTGGATTGAAGTCCTGCTTGTTTGGATTTAAAAATTATACAAAACGTTGAGTAAGTAAATATCATAAATAATATAAGGAATGGATCATGGAATACGAAAACAGGATTCTCATATACCTTTTGAAGAACAAAATATGTTAAACTAATTACTAAACAAATACTTGATTAACATCATCAATATATCCAACGTGCGGATTCAGAAACCAGCTAAAGTAGATGCCGTTAAATAAACCGGGCTTTAACCAGATAATTATAGATAGACCGTATATTGTAGGAATGGCAAGCCAAATAAACAATTTATTTCCTTTAGTTTTGATAAAAATTAAATTAGTCTAGTGTTAATTTAGGGTGGAATATCAGGAGGTTGAGGCTTTTTGAAAAAACAGAACCGAGAGTCACCGAGGCTGGAAAAGCATAGTTCGAAATAAAGAAGCAAATCTGAACCCAAACCCTAGGCAAGGATTGAGGATGAATGAGGTTTTTAAAAAAAGTTTCTTGTCGGGGTTTTTTCCCAGCAAAATCGAGGTTGACGTTTAAAGGCTAGCGAGGCCTCCGTTGCGGCCTTGACCTCGTGCTGCTCTAATTTAAACTATTAAAATTTAAAGCAAAACAGAAAAAAATTAAAATTTAAGAAAATATATTAATTTGTAGAATCATAAGTTATTATCATTTCCCCACCGCCAAAAATTTTTCCAGCCAATTCAGAAGCCCACATTTCAACGCAACGATTCAAAGCTAATATTCCGTCCATCATAGATTCAGCAGCCCAGCAGACTAATAAATAAATTTATTAAAATATTTAAAAGCACGAACAAGTTCCAAATGCTCCAACAAAATAAATAAATTTTGGTGAAGAACAAAAGACATATCCAAAATATCCCAAATATCCTGTTAAAAATCCAACGGCTATAATCGCTGCCATATCAAGAACTCCCATAACGAACATAATTTTATAACAAGTACTTTTTGCCATTAGCTTCCAAATTGAAAACATACAAGGAATATAGAGTATCTGTTTAATAATAAACATTTAAACTCAATAAAGTTACACATTGTGGCAGGTTGGCCATCCCCAAAACCCTTATGTAGATTTGCTTCACAAAAAATGATCATCAATTGGATACACCCAATATGAGTAAATGCTTCCTAAAGATGCGTATGGCCATATTGACTTAGGGCTTAGAAATCAGAGTTATCTTCAGTGTAACCCAAAAGTAATGAGGCGCGATATTTATGCTGTAACTTTATTCAAATTAAAGATTATATGAGTAAATAAAGCTTAAATAAGAGAAACCAAGCAAATATATTTTGGAACTTTGTAATTATTAAATTTATATTTTCTGGAACTATATTAATTATTTTTCTATAAACTAATAATATTTTATGCTTTTGTAGCATTTTATTATAGGTATTTTTATATATTCAAAAATACTCTGCCAAAATTCACCTCATAAATCGTAGATAAAATGAAAAAGAAAAATCCAAATATTTTATGCTGACGTTTTTCTATAGGGGTTTGGTCGATATTGTATAAACTACAATTGTAAAGACGCTCGTATTCATCACGATGAAAGAAATACAAATCCATTAAAATTTATTTAAATTTTCTGGTCTTTTAACCAAAACCTATTTCGTATGTCTAAAATGCTTTAAAAATTTGAATCCATAGTTTGAAATTCAAACTAGCGTTGGTCTCTGTATTCAGCTTGAGAACCATTAATCACTTGAAAGAGCTCTTCGAGCTGAATCGAATGGTTTAAAATCAACGTGATACAACTTAATTGAACAAAGTTATGACAAAAAGCCTTTCTAATTTAGCTTCACAATTTTATTCAAAATGATCAAATCTAACCGATCATGGTATCATTCAACCCAGCTTGAAGAGCTCTTTAGAGTGATATATAAAATATTATATATCAAACAAAACATCTCAAAATGGTCAGGGTCAAAAAATCGGGGTCATCTAATTCAATTTACCTGAACCAAAACAAATACCCATAGAGAAATTTTCATATTCTATAATTTGGTTAACGAAACCGGACTTTACTTTTCGCTTTGAATGATTTTTAAAGGGTATACTACATATGTACAAGTTTATTTTGCTAATAATTAATTTTTCTAAATATTTAAGACAATTTTAATTTAAAATTTTAGTGCAGAATTATAATGTTTCTAAGCATACTTATGTTTTAAATTGTTTGACATAAAATAGTTAAACAAAATCATATTTATTTTAAATAATTTACTGTAATATTTTCGTTAGCAAGACTACAAATATGTTTATTTCTACACTAAAGTAAAGAAACTTTTATTTAGATAATTAAAAAATATTTATATTTTTCATAAATTTGAAATGAAAATTTTCCATAAACTACAATAAAAATTCTGGTCAAAAAAGCGATACACTTTAATAGGGGACGCATATAAGGAGCCCACTATTGTGCCCAGCACAAAAGGGCGCCACATGTTTGGACGCCCAATCCTAAGTTTTTCACAAATTTTTTTCAATTTTTCCTTCGGAATTTCAGAAGGTTATATCGAGATTAATGTGGATATCAAGAGATAAAAATGTGGAAATCTGTCAAGAAAGTGTTAAAACTCTAACAAATTAACCTCTAGAGTATTTTTGATATTTCTTTGATTATTTACGCCTTCCTCCTTCATTATCTTGGGTAAAAAATAAAATATTAATTACACAATATTTATATTAATTATTTTTATTATTAGGCATTCCTAATAATTCTTATCAAAAATTTATAAAAGCAAAAAATCATCATAATCAATATATAAACAAATAAAAAAATTTATTTATTTATAATTAATTTATTTATTTAAATTTATCATTTATAAAATTCATTAATTTTTAAAAATTATTTAAAAATGGAAGAAAAAGAGCCCTTACTTGAAAATCAAAGAATTGAGCGAAGACGAACAAGTGACCCTCGATTAATTTTAACCAATAAAGCTGGCTTCTTCACTAGAAGGAAAAGGCTTAAAAAGTTAAAAGAGGTGGTTGTTTTTGGATTTTCGAGGATTTTAAAATAGTTTCAATCTTTTATTTAAACGTTATTTAATTATAAGTTAGTTTATAATAAATTTGTTCAAAAGGTCTAAGTATATGGATAACTCTCGTTATACTATCAACTGAATAAACAGTATAATTTTACAACGGTATACTCCAATCATAAGGTGTTAGTGTGATTAAAACCCCTGATTTTTTATTGTTGTGGAGCATCAAATATTTTTTTAAAATATGTAGCTTATAGTTAATGGTGGGGGGGGGGGCAGTTGAAATAATTAATTATAATTTGAAATTAATTAATTAAACGAGAAGTTTATGACATTTGAATGTTTACATGTATTCATTTTATAAAATAAATTAAATTAGCAAATATTTCAGTTTTATGAAAATCAGGATCGATTAATCGAGAATTACCATATCGACGAGCAATGCTTCAATAAATCAGATTTCGATCATGTAGCTATTGAAATGGCTAGAAATGAAATGAATAAAAAAGGTCAACGAATGGACAGGCTTATGGCAAGAATTATTTTTGGATTAAATGTTGTTTTGTTAGGTGCTAATTTAATGGCCTCGATATTATCACATTCTTACTCTGTTGTTAGGTTATAATTTTTTAAATTAATTTTAAAAAATGATCCTTCCTTTATTTATATTATTCTAGAGATAGACTTTGAGTCTTTCCGCTAAAACTGAAAAAGATTTTTCTCGTTCCTCCAACTCCTTTCTACCAAGAATGCTTAGGCCATCTCGAAGTTCCCTGTAAAATTTTGACGTATATGCTACTGCAATCTCTCTCCCTCCTTTTATTAGCGAAATTTAAGAAATCCATGCAGATTTACATTAAAAATTATACCCGCATTCGGGATCCAACAAATACAGCTAAACACTAATTATTTTTTTGTACAAATTAACTCCTTAACGAGTCAAAATTTAAAAAAATATTAAACTTTTAGTGCCTTTATCGACAATGCAATGGATCTAACAACTTCGTTAATTGTCCAAGTAATTTTTACTTAAATAAATTTATAATTTTAAATTAAAAATAGACAAGTGTTTGGGCAATAAATAATACAAATATGTTAAATTATCCAAGAGGTAGAGAACGATTAGAAATTGTTTCAGTAATTGTATGTTCTACAATAATGGGTGTAGCTAATATTATGATGATTGTACAGTCTGCTCAAGCTATTATTTCTAATCAGGCAAGGAGAAGCATCAAAAAATAAGCAATCAAAAAATTTAAGGCATTTTATTCCCAATGCAAAATTTTCCGGGTCCTATAAAATAAATTATTTAAAGGTCAATCCAGAAGCTACAATACCTACAATATCTATCCTTTTGGGAGGAATAACAATAAGAATTATATTGTTAGCTATTTGTTATTCAAAAAGTTCCCAAGGATGTAAACTTATGGGATTGGATTTAAGAAATGATATTTTGACATCTGTGGTGGCTTTGACTTGTGCTGTTATTGGGGATAGATACTGGCCTTTAGCTGACCCGATTGGTGCAATTGTTGTTTGGTAGGCATCGATAAATATCTCAGCCTAGGCGTTTTCATTCTTCATTAAGTTCATTTATTGCAATTTCCTGGATGGCTAATGTCTTCTCAACAATTCCGTTAATGATAGGGCGTCGTGCCGAACAAGAAGCTATTTCACGTATTTTACGAATTGCTATACAACACGACGATAAAATTAAACACATTGATCATATGATGGTTTATCATTTGGGGGAACGTGCATTAGTTGAATTACATGTAGTTTTGGATGAGCATTTGCCGTTAAAGTTAACACATGATTTAACGGAAGCATTGGAGAGAAAGGTGAGTAAAAACAATAATAAATGCAAATACGAAAAGGGTTAAAGGAGGATAATTAAGGATTCTCATACGAGAGTCGGGATCGATATCTTGGAGAATAGCGGTCTCGGTAACCAGGATTTTTGTCCGGGATCTCATTCAGGGCTCTAATTTGTAGAAGCTTTTCGCAACTCTTTGAAAAATATTTTTGTATATTCCAGATTCGTTCGTTAGAATTTGTTGAACGTGTTTTCATTCATGTAGATTATCAATGTGATGGATGGTTGGGCGGTCATTAAAACTATATACATATTTTCTCAACAATTAATTACTAGATTAACTAATTTTATTGTTAAAAAATATTTAAAGATAAAAATATTCAGTTTATAAAAAATTAGAAAATAATTTTTACAGCTTTTCAAAAATTATTTTGTTATTTTAATTGAAATTTTTTAACATAATCTTCTTCTTTGTTGTCAATTTTTGAAGAAATTATAGGCGGCCTTTAAATATTAATTTTTAAATAAAATGTTTAATTGAAATAATTTTAAATAGCTAAGTAAATCCTAGTAATATGACTAAAATCATGTTTTTTAATGTCAAAAAATTTGAGCAGTGGAATGGCCGTAATTCCTAAAATTTTTGATTAGCAAAAAATCAAGAACAATTTTCGTTCGAAATTAATGATATCGAACATAGATTTGGGGTACGTAGTTTTCAACTTTTTTCCGGACTCAGAGGGATGTAGTGATCCAAAGTCATAATTATAGTTAAACTACATACTATATACAGCTCCATTTATTTTAAAAAGCTTCAAATCTAAAAATCAACAAAGAAAACCTACCTAAATTAGTAGGGGTAATAACTATTCTCATAACGCCAAGAAAAATAACTTTGCGTTGGTGGGAGTCTGTAAGGTATTCGGTAATAACAGTCATACATTGGACCGAATTTGTAGTAGTCAAAGGTGTCGCTGTGTTTGTAGAAAGGGGAATAAGAATAATAGGGCCAAAAATTTAAAAATTCTCCAGCTGTCATTTTAATTTTTCTTAAAACTGAAATTATTTTAAATTAAAAAATTTTATTAAATTTTAGGCAAAAAATTAATAGATTTTTTAAATATAATTTTTTAAATTAATAAACTAAAAAATCAATCTTTTGGGGTAAAAATAAAATAAAGTTTATTAAACAGCTGGAAACAAAACATAGTAAATATTTTATTTTGGGAAAACAGTTGTTAGAAAAATATGTATATTTAAAATAAATAAAAATTTAAAAAAATATTGTAAAAATATTTGTATTATCCCGTATTTCCTATAATAGTACTCTCGGTATTACTATTTTTCAACCTCTCTCTAAAGAGGAGTATTTACTCCATAATAAGGTGAAAGCGTAGTGCCGGAGACCTTGCCTTCTTAGTCTTCGGTAAGGATATTCTCATGGAACCGTCAATTATTCAAAAAAAATTTTAGTTAAGAAGACTCAGATATACATACACAGAATATAAAATCATTGTGGTCATCTAAGCGTAAGTTCCGTCATCACGCGGTAACAACACTGATATACATAACGAACATATTTTCCTGAATTTCTTTGGCGAAAACGATTTGGTGATATTTCTCATGTTTTTTATAATTTTGATATCATGTCTCTCTTGAAAAAAGTAAATAAATACTGCTCATACTCTTTTTTGATACTTACCTCATAAAAAGTAAGGGAGAAAAGGTAGGAAAAATGAAAAAATGGCTAGAAAAAGAGGGGATACGAACCGAATAATTACCAAACTATGAAAATCCGGAACCCCCGAGAAACCAGATTTCATCAAAATAGCCAGTTCCGGGCCTGTCCCGGCCCGGGTTCGAACATTAATTTACATATGCATGCATCATCTTACCCCCTTAACATTCTTTCCTTTAAATGATAATAACGAAGTAAAGTAGAATTGCCTCAACTAACTACTATGTTCATATTTTTCCTCTCATTTCGTTGGTAGACATAAAAATATATTTAATAGCAATTTCATCGATTTTTATTTGCAAACATTATTACCAAAAAAATTGTGTTTTCTAAATTTATTTTAGTAAAAAACCCAAAAATTTGATAATTTATTTTCTTATTAAAAATTTTATTAATTTAAATACAGTAGTCGACAAAAAGATAGGGACAAACGCAAGTGAAATGGAAATCACCTATTTTCTCACCTAAAAATCGATTTCAGGAAAAATTTTTTGTTTGATTAAATACGCCATTCAATCCTCTATTTAATAAGTAGAAAATTTGCCTGATTAATATTTTATGAAATCCAACCCATATTGAAAAACAAAAGGTATGCTATTTTAAGCGCGACAAAAAGATAGGGACAAGTCTTGTAACTAAGTTTTCATAAAAGCAAAAAATCTGAAAAAATTTGTATAAGCATATTGATTGATACTAAGTTGAAATAAAAAAGAACTAGGTCCATATCTCATTTGGTTGTCAAGATCCCGATACCCCAAAAATCAACGTAAAACAGGGGTAAGCAACTTCAAAATTTTTTTCAACGCCTTATTGATTGTTTTATTTTTTTCATTTTAGGCTCAATCGATAGCCCATGAAATTTGCTATAAACTAGCCAAATTTCATTTTTCAAAAAAATTTCACTCCAGAGTTAAAGGACGACGATTCTCCAAAACGCTGTTTATGAAGGAATTTATGGGGCGCTTGTTGTTTTTTGTGACATTAGCCTCTACAGCTAACGAAATATTTTTTTCTGAGAAATGAAATTCGGCTTGTTTATAGCAAATTTCAAGAGCTATCGAATAGGCTCAAAATAAAAATTCCAAAAAATCCATAAGGGGTCGAAAATATTTTCTGAAGATGCTTACCCCTGTTTTACGTTGATTTTTGGGGTATCGAGATCTCGACATTGAAATGAGATATTGGCCTAGTTCTTTTTTATTTTATCTTAGTATCGATAAGTATGTTTGCACGAATTTTTGTAGATTTATTGGTTGGGTGACTAATAAGTTACAAGACTTGTCCCTATCTTTTTGTCGGGCTAAAATTTGCAGTACTTTTTTATTTCAATTATTTCAGTATATCAAAAAATAATAATACGCCAGATCTTATACTCATTAAATAGAGGATTGAATGGCGTATTTAATCAAACAAAAAATTTTTCCTGAAATCGATTTTTAGGTGAGAAAATAGGTGATTTCCATTTCACTTGCGTTTGTCCCTATCTTTTTGTCGACTACTGTATTTAATTTAAATGGAGGTAATAAATTGATAAATATTTTTAAGATAGTTTTATAATAGTATCTCTAGTATTTTTCCGTTATCCATCTACATTATTCCCCTTCCCTCTTTTTCTACATTCAGCTAAAAGTTCGCAAAATGGTCAGTGAAGTTATCTTGTCGGATTTTTGATCTGTAAGATAAGTAAAAGTGGAGAATTTATTTAAACGTTATTGCACGGGATTGCATCTTTGACAATTAAGCACTTTCACTAAATATAATTTTTAAGAAAAAAAATAAGGAACGGATAAATATAGACGAATAATGGAAAAGTACCATTTTATTGTTAAACATTTTTATCTATAAAGGAGTCAACAAGTATCAATGCTAATATAAAAATCACCCAAAATTTTTCAAAGTAAATTTTAAAGAATTTAATTGAAAATTGAATTTTTGAGGCGTTCAGGTGCTCTACTTTTAGGGCAATTAATGTCTCTCTGTTTAAGCGGGACAGCTGTTGCTTCACAATTTTTGTCTAATGAAAAATACAATGCTCCTACAGGCAAATTATTATTTATTGTTTTATTTGAAAAAATTCTATTAATCCCGAACGCTTAATTTGCTTTAGAGATACATAAAGGATCCTTGAACTAACAAAATTATCTAAACTATGTGACCTTCAAATTACGGGTTTTTAAAAACCGGCCGTGCCCATTCTTACTTTAAATGACAATAATTAGCACTTTTATAAATTTCCAGTTATGTTTTAGATTTATTGAGTTTTACTCTTAAAAATTACATTGCTAACATTTAAAAGAAAATCTTTAAAATTAAAAAAATATTTTCTTTTCCTAATTTACAGCCCAAAATCTACCTACGTATTTCGTTATTTTTGTTATTTTTGGATTTTTATTTTTTCGTAAAAATAAATCAAATAATAATCTAAATGATTCTTCTATTCTATCTTCAAATATAGAAAGTGAGGGATTTTTAGAAATTTTAAGAAATAGAGGATGGAAATATTTTTTACTTGCATTTATTGATGTTGAGGCTAATTTTGTATGTAAATTTCACTTTACGTGAATTTTAAAATTTTTAATGTTAGAGGAGGGTGAAGAGGGAAGATATTTATCCAATGCTATAATTAAATGTCCTTGGAACTGGGTCAGGGTAAAATAGTTGAAATTAGATTATATTCAAAATTTTAAATGGACATTTGTAGCTATAGATTTGCGTGGCAGTTCCTTATCTACTGAATCAAAATTTTTAGTCTGATTAACATTAAGGAAAAAATTATAAAAATCCGACCGACCGTCCGACCTCTGATACTGAATTAAGCAAATGCTATAATTAGTTGTCTGGAGAACTGGGCAGGCTAAAATAGTTGAAATTAGATTGTATTCGAAAGTTTAGATGGGCACTATAGCCATAAATTTGCGGGGCAGTTCCTTACCTCCAGAACCAAAATTTTTAGTCTAATTAACATTAAGGAAAAATTATTTTAAAAATTTATTTTCCTATAGGCAATGGTCTATGCCTATCAATTTACTAACATTACCGCCATTCAATTGTTGAATTCTTTTACAATACCTGCAGTTATGCTACTTTCGTATATTTTTCTTTCTACACGTTACAAAAGTGGGCAATTTGCAGCTGTCGGTATAATTTTAAAAAATTATTTGAGAAATCTCGTAAGTCAGAAACCACACAGGACAATAAATTATTACAATAAGTACATATAAAATCTAAAATAAATGACGTCCAGTTAACTATTTTTACCAATAAAATTTTCAAGCAATTTGTCTTCTTGGCCTAGGCTTAACTATCTACACTGATTCAATTCATGATAAAGGATTAAATAGTGGAACGAATAAATTTATTGGAGATTTTCTTTGTTTAATTGGCACGTTTTTATATGCTGTGTCTAATGTTTCAGAAGAATGTTTAGTCAAGCAATATTCTCGGTAATCTTTTTGGATCGAGTTTGATCGAAATACATAGCCTTAAAAATCCTACGGAATATTTAAGTAACGACTACAATTAAACTAAAACGTCAAAACTTAAAAGGGATATGAAAATTTCGAGCTATAGATTGGATAAAAACGTGTGTCCATTTTCATTAACCAAGGGTTAAACAAAATTTGTCCGATGAAATTTTCTATAAATTTTCAACCTGACTAATAAATGTACGTAGGTTGGCTGATAACTGAACAAAGAATTTGAATACTTTAAGTCAAGACCTTAAGCTTCATGCTCATGTTTTTTATATGAGGAGAAACTATTCACTAGTAGAGCCCGGACGGAGGGTTCGGTCGATATTTTTCGATAAATATTGAAAAATATCGTATCGAGCCGGGCTTTACTATTTACATTCCATAAAATATATTATTCATAGAATAATTTATTTTAAGAATTAAGAAGAAAAAGTATACATATTTATATATCATTTTTCTCTTTCAGTTTAGAATTTCTAACTTTTATTGGCATTTTTGGATTTATAATATCTTTATTTCAATCTTATTTTTTGGATTATACAAAATTAATTAAATTTAATTGGAATTTATTTTCTATATTTATTTTAATATTTTTTACCTTTTCAATGGTTTTATTTTATTCTTTGGTTAGTTCTGTAATGCAGCGATCTTCTGCTTTATTGTTTAATATTTGTGTTTTAACTTCTGATTTTTATTCAATGCTGGCCGGAATTTTTCTTTTTGGGCAAGAGGTGGGGAAAAAAGAATTTTTGAGAAAAACTGAAAAATTTACAGTTTTTGATAAAAATTCAAAAAATTAAATTTTAATTACATATTTATATTTTCAGTTTTATATTCTTTATTTAATTGCCTTTATTATAATTATTTTTGGCACAATTTTATACAATCGTGAAGAAACTAATAATTATGTAAATGAAAATGAACAACTTTAAATAAAAGTAATAAGAATGTCTGATGATATTTGATAAAAATTTCCTCACATTCATCTTATCGTTTTGCCTTTAAATTTTTAAAATTAAATATTTATGATACTTAACGATTAAAATATAGTTTTCGAAATATAGTTTTAATTTCCAATTTTTAGAATTTTCCATTCTGGAATGTAAGAATAAGTTTTAAAATTTTGTGGAGGAAGTGGGGATTTTTTTGGGGATTTCGAATGACGAAATAGTTAATTTTACTAACGATGGGAATATTCTCGCAAGAAAAAGAATAAACTTTTAAAATTCTCTTAAAAAATTCTATATTTTATAAAGAATATTTTGAAATAAAAATATTTTCTCAAAAATTCCATCAACTTTATCTACAAAATTTTTTGACTTCACGTGAAAAATTCTAAAAATCGGAATGCTTTTATGTTTAAAGAGACTATTTTTTATATACTAAATGCACTTTATAAATTCACCCCATTATTATTTCTCAATTTTTAATTGCGATAATACATATGTACTTACATTATGCATGTCTGAGAAAATAATTCATTTAAGAATTATTACGTTATAATTATTTTTTATTTTTTTATTTCCAATCTCGCTGTACATATACCTATGTATGTATTTCTGGACATCTCTACTTATAATATTTTGAAAACACGTTTTTTATATTATTCAAGGACTGTATTTAGTAGAAAACAAAGTTGCAATATCAAAATTGCCAAAGTTGCAGCATTCTTGTATTACTACAATTCAAGGCTTGTTTTCGCTTATCAAGAAATAACTTTGCGCGAGGGCTGTAATAGATATTTTAATCACAATCGCGGTTTTCCTCACTAATAACTTCTTGTTCTACTCTAATCCCTCAATACCAAGTATTAAATTCAAAAATAGTTTTAAAATAATAATTATGAAATTTTGCACTTTATGTTTTGAAATATGCTAATGATTAATCAAGTGCATTTATTGAAAGGAAATTGGGAAATAATTACTTATATTATTTTTAAAAATACATAAATGTTTATTCTTTATTTAATTAATATACATAGTAAAGCAGCTGGGCTATAGCTATTTTTCTCCTTTAGCTAGTGCAAAAGGTTATTTATTCGGTGTTGGGAGCAAACCAGCATCTTTAGTAGACCGGACTTATGAGTTATCCATTACACCACGCCGCCACTTAAGAATTAAATAGCTACTATATGCTTTACAATATATTGATGAATTTTATAAATACCCCCATTTATCTTCAATAATATATATATTCTTTACGATATAATATATTATTTTATGATAAGATCCGGCTTGTGTTAAAAAATTTAATGCCAATTTTTTTTTAATTTTTAAGTTAATTAATGGTTTTTATTAAATTTTTATTTTTTTGTCAAATATTATTTTTAATATTTTCTTTTTCTTCTCCGATTTTACTAAATAATCAACGAATTTTGGTTGAGTCCACAGAAAATAACAAAAATGAGGATGGAAGTTTTAAAATAAAATTATTGAGAATGGAATTAAATAAAATTGATGAGGAAAGTGGACAAAGGAAAATTGAAATTTTGTATGAAATTGATGAAAAAAATGAAAAAGATTGCGTTTATACAAGTGTTTATACAAATAATTGTGTTAATCTTACATTTATTTTACACAAAGTGAAAAGTATAATTAATGGAAATAAAGGGAAAAAAATAATTTTAATTGAAGAGATTTTCTATGATTTAAAAAGATTTGGGTTAAGTATTTGTTTAAAGGAAAGTAATGGAACAGAACAAAAGGTTTTTAATATATATTTTGGTTTTTAATAATATTTAGATCTTTTAATAATTTTTGATTGAGGTCAATAATTTTGGCTCTCAAAAATATTTCTTATCTTTAACTAGAAATTTTAATTTTTAAATTACAAATTTATTTTAATAAATAATCATCAAAAAGTGTGAATTATTTTCTTTATTTAAATTTTTAGGAATTAATGGTTTTGATGCCTATATTTTTTGCACACATTGATTTTGAAGTAAATAAATTGCCGGTTGATAATGTAATAAGTGATGCTATGTTTCATAGTAAAGTTATAGAAATAAATGGAATAAAAACAGCTTTTGGGACAACTACTAAAAATATTTATAAATTAACTAGATTAATTTGTTTTTTGAATCCTGATAGACCTAGAAAAATTTTGGAAAGAGAAAACTTTAGCAAGGGTAATTTAATTGAGTCAACTTCATTAAATGCCAAGGCACATATAAAAAGAATGGAATATTCTCACATTGAAATTTGTTTAAAATTTGAAAATCCAGGCAATTATTTTATAATTTTATTGAGAAATTTTGAGGTCGGCTGGTTTCAATTTTTTGTTAAAATAAAAAAAGCAAATGAGGAAAGATGTGTGTCTAAATTTTTCAAGGGAATGAGTGATTTGGAAAAAGATTTATTAAAAAGTCTGAGACATTGCATAACAATAATGATAACAAAAACAGAGGAAGATGATATTGAAGATGGGCAAATGAATGTATTTGATGAAGGTTTTCTAACCCATTATGATATTGAAATAGAAAATGTTGCCTCAATAAGAGCATTGTTGAATGATGGAAGTTATGAATTTTATTTAGATAATGAAGGAGAAATAAAAGAAAAAAAGGTGTTCATTGCTGATCCGGATAACGAAATAACCAATTTTAAGAAAAATAAACAAGAAAATCCTACAAAAAAGAGGAAGTTTGTTGAGGAAACCGTCTATTGAAACTAATAAATATCATTTATTGGATTAATTTTTTAACGAAATTTTAACAATTTTTCTGAAATTTTAGCAATTTTAATTAACTTTTTGTAGTTTCTTATCTATAAAATCTTATAAATATTTCTACCATAATTTTTATTTAAGATTAAGATCAGGGGATCTTAAGGGATATCAAATGAGCAGAAAGCATAAATATAACTAATTAAATTCCATATAATTAATTCGATTTAAAAAAGTATAAAATTTATCCAATAGAAGATCCATAAAATGTATATGGCAAATAAACAGTAAAAATTAAAGAAATAATCATTGTGGATGCTATAATTGTAAACATTAAATGAAACCCTATTATATTTAGTAAAAATTGTGAAAACAGTGCTGTGATTATGCCAGAGATGAACTGAAAAATTAAATAATTTTTAAAGATTTGTAAAGCCCTTATTTAAGTAAGAAGACAAAGTCCCTTGCTCGTGAAGATAAGAGACCGGAAGAATCCACGATTTATTGTCAATAATTACAATTCCTAGATGTGTGAATGAAACCGAAGTACATAAGATGATTAAAGGTGCGATTGGAATCTTAAACTGGACAAGAGCCATCTTTTTCCTATGGCGATTATTACCAAACTATTTGTATTAAAACAAATGCTCCGGTACTATGTGTGTGTACCTAACAGGGATGTCACGGGTTACCCGAAACCCGATACCCGAAACCCGGCCTTTTTTTCGACCCGATACCCGAAACCCGATCCGAGAAATTTTCTAAAACCCGACCCGAAACCCGACCCGAGAATTTTTATTTTTCAAAACCAGACCCGAAAACCGACCCGAGTTTTCTCAAAATTTTCGCCCACGTCGCAGCAAAAGGGAAGATTTTTAGCTTAATGATCTTCCAAAATTTTGAAAATTTTCGCCTGCGGCGCTGAAAAAGGAAGAAATCTGGCTTCGAACCTTCAAGAATTCTCAAAATTTTCGCCTGCGGCGCTGAGAAGGGAAGATTTTTGGCTTTTTGGCCTTAAATTTTTTCGACCCGAAACCCGAAACCCGATCCGAAGAAAATTTTGAAAACCCGATCCGACTTTTTGCTCAACCCGAAACCCGATCCGAGAAAAATTTTGGAAACCCGACCCGAAACCCGACCCGACATTTTTCTCAACCCGTGACATCCCTGGTACCTAACTCTAAGTGAATAGGGCCTTGTATGTATTCCCAAAATGATTTTACTTGGATAAGTTTAGTGTTACACCCCCCCCCCCCCCCCACACGACACTATTACCAAATTCTGAGATGAATATTAACGGAATTGGAGAAAGAAATAATATTCATATCCGTCTAGATGTGTGGATATCCTCAGGTATCCGATATTATTGTCAGTATTCGTGACCAAGTCTGGATAAACTAAGATTTATATATCCTTCTCATAAATATTTATAATTCAATTTAAACCCACAAGTGATATATGAACACACCCATAAGCTACACCAAAATTTTCACATCCAAAGCAACGATGAGTCGCATAGGGTACTAATGAATAAGTTGCTCCAACACAAGAAAACATTGCACAAATCTTTAAATTTATTTCAATTTCATTTACTTCATAAACAAATTTAACTTGCCCAGATAAAGAAGAAAAATGATGAATTAAGCAATTCAACAAGTCCTAAAGTCCACATAAGTGCAGCACCGAGTGAACATGCAATACCCATTGTTAGCCTATATGATGCCTGAAAATTTGGAAAATTTTTTGATTTGCATACAGAAAACTTGGAATTCTACTTTTGTGCCTGATTCTGAATGATTATAAAATTTAATTTTAAATCGTTCAATAGAATGGCAATTTAAAATCATCAAACTTAAAAAACCATTCAATTAGCTTAAGCTTAGAGACATTTCCATTGTTGGAAATTACCGTATAATGAACTCTCAATATGAACCACACTCCATAAAAAGTTCCAATCTTACTAGATGGATGCTTCTTCGAGAGGGGCCATTTTCAAGTTAATTTCAAACCTTATTTTTATTAAATAGGGCTGTACTAGTCCTTTTCACATGGAAAATGCCGGTATAGTTATATCCATGACAATCTACCTGTACGTAAAGAATATAACACTATTCATCCCTACATTAAATTTTTGGTGTTATAACAAACATGCTTATTCGGAAAGAATTCGGACAGAAGCCCTAATTACTATATTGTTTTAGTTAAATAATCAATTACTCGGTCTGCAAAAGCTCCCCAAAATATTCTGCTAAAACAATTTGTAGCAGCAGCAAATGAACTAACTGTTGCCAAAAAGAAATCGTCATGAATAAAAGTTTGGCCGTAAGCCTAGAAGTAATTTTTAAAAATTATTTAAATTTATTTATTACACCTTAAAAAGTCCACTTGTAGTCTGTACCCAAATTCCGTTAAGTAATAAAGTCAAAAACAAACAAATAAAAGTATCAGAGGTTAAAACTTTCTTTGTAGAAATTGTGGGGGCAGTTAAACTTAATGCAGTTGTTGTGGTTGTAATTATTCCATAAGAAGTGTGGGAGTGAGAGGAAGTTATTGAACATCTAGATTTGAGTAATGGACGTTTTTGTGATTCGATTTCTTGATCTTTATTTTCTTCATCATTTTCATCTTGAAAAACACTTTCATTGTTATTAGTGTTTTTCTGAAAATTTTAAAATGGAGAAATTATTACAAAAAGCTGAAACTATTACATATACATATTATTAACTAGAATTGAGTCAGGTAATAACATTTACTGTATATCCTATAATAACTACCCTGGGTAATTATTGTTTATACCTTCTTGTGGAGGGAGTAATTAATCAAGGCGTGTAATTATACGAGGTGTCGTATAAAATACGAAATTCTTTAATTAGGTATTTAAAATTCAATTTATTATTAAATTTCTATTTTTTCTCTTGTCAAGGACAGAAATCCTTGCAATATCTTTTTCCCATAAAATCCCTTTTCTCGCTCTTTGAACCTATTATTGTAATATTCTCTCTTCTTCTCTTTTCTATTCACGTGCATTTCACTAATATCCTCCCCTTAGGAACACTATAAAAGCCAAGCCCTAATGCCAAACAATAACATTCATTTGTTCAATCATCAATTTCCGAACGTCCAATCGTTCATTAATTCAACTACTTATTGTAAATTTAATTTTATTTAAATAAATATTTTTAATATTTATTCTTCTTTAATTCTTTGATTGTTAAGAAGTAAGTCTAATCTTATCCTTAACAAAGTGGTGCTCCGGGAGAGGCCAACAACAATTGAAAATTTCTAATAATTTTCACATTTTTCAGTGTCGGACCAAATCAATCCGAACGTTCTTCAACAAATTCTGGACGCAATTAGAATTCAACACAAAAAATCTTCAAATTGTACTTGTCTGGCTTGTTCAACATTAAAAGCAACAACTTCCCCAGCTGAAGTTAAAATTAAAAAAGAAGGGCCAAAAATTGAAGATATTGGAAATTCTAATACTAAAGAAGGGGAAACGCCACCAGCTAAAAACAACAAAAGGAATTATAACAGTAAGGAGATACTTCCAACTATCTCAGAAGACTCAACAGACGAAGAACCTCCATTAAAGAGGTTCGTAATAAAGAGAGCAATCAGTCCATTATTTTTATTCAGAAAGAGCTCTCCCAAATTAAAACAACCTGCTACACCTCGTAGGGCCTGTTCGCCTCCTACTCCAATCCGGACCACCAGAGTTGAACCAAACAACTACAAAAAGAAGGTAGACTCACAAATAGTTAATTATCAACACAAAAAAACTTCTGAATTTTTAAAAAGACAAATTTTCGAAACCTTAATATTTCAAGGAAGATCACACCCTGAGCAAGGAAACAGCAGTGGTACCAACCAGAGTCTATCATCGAACGCCAGTGAGGTGCCCTGTCAGAAACACTCCACAAAACAAGGCTCAGCCCCAAAAAGTAAATCTAAATTTCTTACAACGGATATTAAATTTACCAGTAATTTTTTCAAAAAACAAATTCAGGTGAACGACCAGACCGAGGCCAAAAAGAAATTGGAAGAAAATCAAATAATCGAAGCGAAGGCCATAGGAGAAGCTACCCGAAAAAATATACGTTTGGCAGACGTGTACCGAGATCTTGGCAGCACGTTCCGAGCAGCCGGCCAATTATTTGAGAAACTGGGAAATATAATTAAAGAAAAAGAAAACAATTAAAAAATTTACTTAATTAATTTAAACGCTCTTAATTCGATTGCTTTAAATTTTTTCTAAAAAAATCAAGAATTTTTTCTTCAATTGTAAAATTTTAAAAACAAAATAAACATTTTTCATATACAACCATTGCCTTCTGTGAAAAATAAACAAACAATCGATTGAGGAAATCCTCCTTTAAAAAGCAATATAAACATACAAAGAAAAGAAAATTTTGAGAAATTAGAGTACAATAAAGACTTAGAGATCAAATAAAACAAAAAAATGACCTCGAAGGTATATGCCGGTCCTCTTAAAATGCGCTTAGGTCCGCTGAAAAAAAGGACCTTAGGATATATAAATACTGCTAAAGATTTGTTTTCGGCAGAACCTCTTAAAATTAGTTCCAATAGCAGCAGCACATTGCTCTATACTTAATACAAGATATAAATATAAAACTGACCTTATAAATAATCCGCATCTATTCCCGAGTAGTTGGAATGAAGAAGTAAACGTAGAAGAATGCAATCGAATATGGAAAAGATCGAGATGTCGTTTAGGAGAATTAACGGGAAGCGCTAACATAACTCACACGCATAACAAGGCACAAATTAAATTCACATACTGGGCTATAGGATACCAAGAAGCAAAAGAATCTAATTGCTTCCTTAGTAAAATAAATATTTACATAAAACCAGACACATCTATAATTCTCACACCTGGAATAGATATATCATATTGTAAATATGAACAAGGAGCATGTCTTTTAGAAGATGACTCAATAATTATTTGGAAAGTTGAGGAAAGAGGGAAAAATGAAAAGATG